CAGAGTGTCCCACAAGAGTGTCCTACAAGAGTGCCCCACAAGAGTTTCCTACAAGAGTGACCCACAAGAATGTCCTACAAGAGTGTCCCACAAGAGTGTCCCACAAGAGTGTCCTACAAGAGTGTCCCACAAGAGTGTTCCACCGTGTCCTATAAGAGTGTCCCACGAGAGTGTCCTATCAGAGTGTCCCACAAGAGTTTCCTGCAAGAGTGACCCACAAGAGTGTCCCACAAGAGTGTCCTACAAGAGTGTCCCAGAAGAGTGTCCCACAAGAGTGTCCCACAACAGTGTCCCACTAGAGTGTCTCACAAGAGTGTCCCTTAAGAGTGTCCTACAGGAGTATCCCACAAGAGTGTCCCACAAGAGTGTCCCACAAGAGTGTCCTATAAGAGTGTCCCACAAGAGTGTCCCACAAGAGTGTCCCACAAGAGTTTCCTACAAGAGTGTCCTACAAGAGTGTCCCACAAGAGTGTCCTACAAGAGTGTCATGTAAGAGTGTCCCACAAGAGTGTCCTGCAAGTGTCCCACAAGAGTGTCCGACAAGAGTGTCCTACAAGAGTGTCCCATAAGAGTGTCCTAAATGAGTGTCCCACAGCAGTGGCCCACAAGAGTGTCCCGCAACAGTGTCCTGCAAGAGTGTCCGACAAGAGTGTCGCAGAAGAGTCTCCTACAACAGTGTCCCACAAGAGTGTCCTGCAAAAGTGTCCCACAAGAGTGTCCGACAAGAGTGTCGCACAAGAGTTTCCTACAAGAGTGTCCCATAAGAGTGTCCTAAATGAGTGTCCCACAGCAGTGCCCCACAAGAGTGTCCCGCAACAGTGTCCTGCTTTGAGGTGTGGAAGTGCGATTTTCGTGGCAGGCGCAGGGAATCGTGAGGGTGCGAGGTGTGACGGAGGTCACATGTCGTGGCAGGCGCAGGACTTTGGCGGCTGCCGTTTTCTATTCTACTCCTTTCAGACGCGCTGGCGTTGGCAGCTGCCGTTACCCCTACCACGTCGCTGATGATGCGCTCGCAGCGACCACATGTGTCACAAAAAGCTTATGTTTGCGATGACATCGTGCTGGGTTAAACGTGTGATTCATTCGGGTTCGTGGGTTCCATCTTGTTTTTTTGCACCAATGCATCACCCGTTCACACCCGCCATAGCTAGACCAAATTGCCATATTATCCTGGCAGGATTGCATTAACTTTTAACTGACAAGGAGGTGTTATGTGCACAACCCATCTCCCCTCAATTCTTTTTCGTGCCTGCTGTTTGCTGTTTGCTTGTTTGCCACCTGCTAGCTTTCTTGGCCTGATCCATGATGCTGATAGCTGATAGGATGGAATAACGCATTCGACATTCACCAGCATTTTGATTCTTACTCAGATGGTTGCCACTTCAGTCAAGGCAAAGTGACACAACACCCTTTCTGAACACTGCTGGATGGGCAGACTGTCAGGACCGCGGATCTCAGGGCAAATGTTTGTAGAGTCTCAGTGGAAGTCTCCAACAAGTATTCAAAGGATTCGAGACTAGGAGGAGGGTGTGTGAATGCGGAACCATTCCTGACACGAATTGTCATGCAATCTAGGGCACAATGTCAGCTTGTGCGGCTGTTGCCTGAGGAAGCCATCTATGCTACAGCTTCATACCACATAGCACCTGAGAGCTCTTGCAGTGCTCAGTTCGAGGATTTTAGACGAGCAAGTGATCCCCAGTTCGAAGGGTCTGAGTGTGTCTGGGCTGGTCGTGGTCATCAAGGTCTGAGTGTTCAAGAGCCGTGGCCTTTGTGTCGCTCACCTACCTCGTTATGGAGCTTGGGCTCGACTATGGAGCCTTGGCGACTGGGCTCAGCAGCGGCAAGCGCAAGCGGCGCAAGCAGCATTGCGTCAATGGCGTCGATTGCTTCGGTGGACAGTGCTCTTGGGACTCACTACCGCGAGCCAATAGATTCCTCGCATTTGGCAGAGGACTCGTCAAATTTGTCATGGTGCAGTGCGCAGCTTGCACCAGAGCTGGCTGATAGTGCCCGAAAGGCCTGGGCAGTCGAGCTTGGAGAAATTAGAGAACTAGAAAGAGAAAGTCAAGGAGAATTTGGAGATCCTTTAGACTTGGAAGCGTTCGTTCTGTCAGAAAGTCGTTCAAGTCCGACAGAGCTCCTTCCCTTTGGGCTTTTAGATTCACCTTTGAACAGCCCCAGCTCCCGCAATGAGTCAAGTGAGCTGAAGACATCGAAGACTCCGATTCTCGAATGCACTGAGCAGTGTGGTAGTTCAGAGATCAGTCTATCCATCACAAGTAGAATGAACATCTGGAGAATGAACATGCCATTTCGCAATTTCGCATCTTTTGGATCCACTTGCTTGCTTCCAAGGAAGCCGCGTCAAGAGAAGCGGGGATTGCCCAGGGAATACCATCATAGCCGGGTGCCGAAGAATGTCAATTTGCAGGAGGAGTATGAAAGTCATCCGGGTAGGGAGATCACCACCTTGATGACCCTTGTGCCGACAACACAAGAACCTTTGTGTTCTTGTTTCATTTCTGCTCTTGTTTTTCCAGCTTTGCAATACATTGACACCAGGTTGTTGCTTTTGTGAGGATTCGCAACATTCCGAACCGCTATACACAGCAGGAGCAAGGGGTCATAAATTTAGTGCAAAGCCTTTGGACACTCAATTTTGAAAATTGCTCAATCCAAGTATCCAAGTGCAGTTTCTTCAGCAGATGCCTGTTCTGCGCTAGGAGCTTATTGCTGAGCTGGAAGATTTGGGCTTTGCTGGTAGCTTCAATTTCTTGTACATTCCTCTCGACAAAGGAACTATGTCAAACGTGGGCTATGCATTTGTGAACTTTGTGAACACGGACTGGGCCAACCGGTGCATTTTGGCCTTTCAGGGGTACCGCTTCAAACGACATCGCAAGTCTTCTGGGAAGATTGCAGCGATCTCTACTGCACACCTTCAAGGTCTCGAGGCGCAGGACCATGGGACCATGGGACAGGGGATCCCAAGACTAATTGTAATGGCCTCCAACTTACTAGCAATGGCCTCCAACCTAAGAGCGATGGCCTCCAGCCTACCTGTCGAAGCCGGTCAGCAGCATCTAGGAAGACTTCACCCTTGTGCTTCGCTGCTAGCTTATGTTTGCTACTGGCTCGCAGCCCCCTTCTACCTCTTCACGGCCTACCTCGCCAAAGAAGAACACATCCGAGTTTAGATACTAAGCAAAAGGAACAAAACATGATGAACAAAAAAGCCCAAGACCCACTGAATCCCACTGAAATCTTTGTGAGGCCAACTTGGCGCACTATGAGAAATCAGCTGTGAACACTGCGAAGCTGAAGCACCGCCGGCCGGTAGTCATGGCAAATATTTCGACAGGCCTAAACAGTGTGGCCTAGGGCCCAAAGACGACATGGGCTGACATGCCTGGACCTTATGTTTTTGTTGCAGAAACGTGTATATATATATATAGTATATAGCATAGTAGCATCTCCAAAGCAAGAGGGAAGAACACAGCAGGACAGTTGCAGCCAACGCTTGTGCTAGTTTTCGAGAGTTCGTTGGCGGTTCTTCATGCTCCAGTATGGGCAGCGCAGTTGATGATGTTTCGGATTGTATATTGTAGGGGTCAGTGGATGACGACAGACGGTCCGGCCTGATTTTTGTAAGTTTGAATACCGCTCTTTTATGCTGGCAGTCTTGCATTCAGGCCGAAGTACTCCAAAAATGTTTGATCCAGTCACCGACCAGTCTCATGTTTGATTCGAGGGAGGCAAGCGAGAGATACATGGCCTGAAGTGCACAGATATTTTGATAGGCCAGTCACTATTATTGGTTAAGTATCATGGGTTGGATCTTGCTGAAGGTTTGCTTGGGAAGCTCTTGTCAGCAGTGCTTTGACCTTCAACCTATGTTTGAGGTGAGTAGATCCAAGCCAATGAATATGCACGGACTGGCAAGAGCAATCGAAATAAATGTAATTGCCTTGCTAATATACTGTAGCGAACATTGATCGCAGAACGGCAGGTTGGCGGGTCCATTGCTTTCAGCAGGATTGAAGATTAACTATGACATGAGAATTATATTGATACAAGTAGTCCTGTACAGGGGAGTGGGCCTAGAGATGGTCTTCAATTGTCTCCCGTCTCTTCCATGCAAACTACCTTGCCTGCAATGAATACAAGACCATGCCGCAAATAACTGTTCCTCTTATGCAGGGCGTGGGAGGCCCTGGGTGAGTCCAATCTGACAGCTCTGGCAGAAGAATGAGATCCATCAAGTTCAGTTTCCGAGAGCTTCCTTGAAGAAGCGTGAGCTATCCTGCATCCAGTTGTATACTAGAAGCTTAAGTAGCTAGTAGCTTGCTCCCTTACTAATTAAGTAGGCGTCTACTTGAGCAAGTATGGAGGCAGGGCCACGGGCCCAAAAAAGAAATAGAAACATTCTTTTGTTTGAGCTGTGACTTGCCAATGCCAAGGTACAAAGAAGACTCTTGAACTGTAGGCCGTCGACAAAGCTTCGATACCACAGGATGCCTACCTAGGCGAACATGTCGAATGCGGCGTGAGAGTAGACTTGGCTCAGGACTTGGCTCTTTGAGTCGCCCAAAGACGAAATAGTAGATGCAGCAGCACCGTTGTCTATAAAAGCTCTCCCTTCGGCGACATTTGGCTGTGGGTCAAACCCGGGCACCCTGGTTGACCACCGAAAATGAATAAATTTCTTTTGGCATCGCTACTAGTAACAAGGTGCTACTAGGGGCTCCTGGCCTTACTACCAGGAGCAAGGATGCTACTAGGAGCAAAGGGCATCGCTACTAGGAGCAAGGACGCTACTAGGGGCTCCTGGCCTGACTACTAGGTACTAGGAGCAAAGGCATCGCTACTAGGAGCAAGGATGCTAGTAGGGGCTACGTTAAGGATGTCAACCTACCATGGCTTGGTGGGGGAGGTTTTGACTCACAGCAAATGGCACCAGTTTTTGAATGTTTGGCCATGGGCGACTCGACACTGCTGAGTATGCTTGGGCATGTCAGTGGACGCTGCTATGGTCCTGCATGTGGCACCTTTTGTAGTTTCAGCTTCTTATTTTTTCAATCTTGTTATGTGGCAAGGGATGATGTTATGCTTCAGGAGGAAGAAAAACATCTTTGTGGGTCCATTTCGCGTGGCCAGTGTGGGACGGTAAATTATCACCCTCGTTAAACAGCTTTGGAGGGAGGAAATTCGACCGTGTGAGGTGACATAATGGGGAAACGGTTCTCAATTTGGAACCTTCAAGAAAACCCTCGTGGTGTATTGGAAGGGCCGTGCATCCAATGTGCTGTTCTGTGGCGCCACATGGCATCAGCGTCCTTTTAAGCAGTGTTGTGCACACTGCTAGGTGAATGCCGTCTGCATGCTGAACAGTTGCCAATTGAGGGACACTCTCAGAAAAGTGCGACAACATGTATTGGATGTTTGGAGATTCAATTCCTAGTATATAGCTTCTTGTTCCTAGTAGTAAGGCCAGGAGCCCCTAGCAGCGATGCCCTTTGCTCCTAGTAGCTTCTTGTTCCTAGTACTTTGACAGCAAAAGCCCCAGATGTGCTCAATGGTTCCTGGAGGTGAACAGCGATTGCCTCGCAGCTGCGGTGCAAGCCCCTTGTGAAAGTCTTAGTCCATCCTAGCATCGCCATAGCTTCAGTGGCCAAAAGTTAAGAAACTGGCAGAGTGAAGGTTGCAGCCCAAGCAGAGCCCAAAGCTTGGCCATGAGACTGCTTTGGTCTACATGGAGGTAGGCAGCTTGTGAGAGATTTTCCTTGTTTCAGAGACTCCGTGCGCCTCTTAAAGGCTTTCTGAAGGCTTCATGCGGCTTCGAATTGTGTTGGACTTGCAGGACCAGCACAGGCCGCGATCAAGCAGTGGCGGGGTGTCGACCTTGGATGCCAGGAGCAACCATGAAACGGTTTTTAGATTTGCCCAACGTCTGATCAATCAGAGTGCAACTCAGTGCAACATAGGAATGGGAGACAGTCAGGATATGGACAAACATGATTGGCCTTGTGGGAAGCTTGTGTGTGTCACCCGAACCCATGGACTAATCCGAGGGCTTCAGAGATGGTGGCTTCGTTGAGACACCACAGCTTACACAGCTCAGTGCGCCCTGAAGCCAGACAAGAGATGTTTAGAGGATACAGTGTGGAATCCAGATCCCGTTTTCCAACTCATTGGCCTGTTTGTATAGCCTTTCAAGTGGGTTTGGACAGGTGCGATGCTGAAGGTTGTGGACGCCGGCGATCGCATCATCAAGGCACTAAAGACCCTAGTAGCTTCTTGCTCCTAGTAGCGATGCCAGGAGCCCCTAGTAGCTTCTTGCTCCTAGTAGCGATGCCGCGATGCCCTTTGCTCTCCTAGTAGCGTCCTTGCTCCTAGTAGTAAGGCCAGGAGCCCCTAGTAGCTTCTTGCTCCTAGTAGCGATGCCGCGATGCCCTTTGCTCTCCTAGTAGCGTCCTTGCTCCTAGTAGTAAGGGCAGGAGCCCCTAGTAGCTTCTTGCTCCTAGTAGCGATGCCAGGAGCCCCTAGTAGCGTCCTTGCTCCTAGTAGCGATGCCGCGATGCCCTTTGCTCCTAGTAGCGTCCTTGCTCCTAGTAGTAAGGCCAGGAGCCCCTAGTAGCTTTTTGTTACTAGGAGCGATGCCAAGAGAAGTTTGTTGAAGTGAGTGTGATCCTGGTCCTTGCAAGGGGCGCCTTGAGCTGTTTGCTTGTTCACGTCGAAAGTTAACAGTTGTGCCGTCCTCAGAGAGTTGCACAGCTTGTGCCTGCGGCTTTTAACTGAAAGTCACAAGACCTGTAACTTGGCTGCAACAGTGACCTGCACTGCAAGATTTCCGTTGCGATCTCTGTGACTTTGGGGTTGAGACCTCTGCTAAGCTCCATACCTCACGCAGCAGACCAAAAGAAGATTTATTTACGTGATATTGAATCTTTTTCTCTAACACATCACTCCACATATTCACCAATTTAATGGACTTTGTGCTACACAGTAGCACTGCTTTCACTCCTTTTCGTCTCTGTCATTTCTTTCTGCCTAAAGTATTTTGTCTTGAAGCACTAGTGTAGCCTCAAGAATGCTTGAAGCGTTCTCATTTCCCTTGGCTCACTTCACCCATTCAACCTAGCATTTTTGCCTAATTGCTGCACATTACCACACCCTGCAACACATGGCCCCAGTCTCTTTCAGCTATAGATTTCTGCAGAATTATTTCTTCTCGCTCGTCACTATATATATATATACACACACACACCTTGTCTTTCACCTACTTTGTGACTCCCATGTGTAGCTATTTGGCCACAAATCGCAGGGAGCTATCCCACCTTTTTTCAATTTCATCAACCTTTTAGCTTCAGGTTAAACAAAATATGTTACACAATCACATTTCGCAGAGTGATTTTTTCCCCTAACCTCCCAGGGCCAGCAGCATGACCTTGAGCTCCGCTGCCCAGAGAGCTTGGCAGATTCGCCCCTGGGGTCCCTGGCCTCTGAAGGCTCCCAGAGACTTGGTGGTCAAGCAAAGTGGCGAAACGAAAAAGGATTCAAGATGCTTCGTGAAAGAAGTAGTAGTTAAGTCCATGTGTGAGGCCGGCTTGCCTGGTAGGAATTTGGAAGTTCGGAATGTTGGAACTCGATCTTCGGCATAAGGATTTTGCTCTCAAATCTCCGGACGCTGATGTCCCGGACTAAGCACACATTGAATTACTGTATTTGTATATATATATATAGAGATGTACGTAGATGTACTGAAAAGACTATCAGAGGGCTGGCAGAGCTAGGAATCTGACTTGCTTCTTTCCCTAAATTGGCAAGGAGTTGGAGCAGATGCTTCCTTGCCAAGGTCCTTACTGTACGTCGACTACGACTGCACTCATTTGTATCCGACTGACTTTGAGCGCTGCACTGACAAGCATGCGGTGGCGGCTTAGCGGAAGTTCAGGCTGTCCAACGTGTGTACCTGAAGAATCCATGCCCAGTCTTGTTTTGCTGTGGCTGTTTATGCAAGCTCAGGTTACCTCCATAAATCATAGCCTTGTACAGATCGTGGTGTTCTTAGATTGTGTTTCGTTTGCTTCTTCATGAGTTCGACAGTCTCCTAGGTGGACCGTGTCCACAGTGGCTTTCTTGCTGAATTCTGGCAGGCACCTTTCCCTCAAGTGTGCTGAATTCTTGCAGTCTAGAATCGACTTGGAGTTCCTTTCAGGCAGTGCAAGAAGCGATAGACATCATCGGATGTGAAGTGTTCGCTTTCCGACCGACGCCCGAGACTTTTCTGTGATACTTGATGGACATCGCAAGACTTTTAGACGAACACTGAGACATATAACCTCTGATTTGCGTCATGTTTGCTGCACTAGTGGTCCAAGGTCTACAAGCTTTGAACCTACAGAACATGCACTCATGTCCTGGCCTAAGCTACTGTGATGGATGAAGCCGATGCTAGGTCTTGATGCTGGCTAGTTTATTCCTTTTAGAAGACTTGCTTTGTGAGGTCTTTCCATTACTTCTTCGCTGACCTACAGAAAAGTCGCATTCTTTTCATAGGCCTGCTGAAATGCATCATATATATATATATATGATATGATATGCTATGATGTGATATGATATGATGTGACATGATATATATACATACACAACGTATTGTTTGCATTTTGTTACAAGACTTGCGCAGGCAGTGTCACGAAGAGTCGGCGGAGCGCCCGTGGAGGTCCCGACTCCGACAGTGACGTGCAGCTGTCTCAGGACTGGAGGAGGTGAAAGCGTAGACACAGGCAGCACAACAAGGTCATTGCATTGTTATATAAATATATGGTACCCCCCCAAAAAAAAGAAACAAACAATATTCTTGCTGTATTTCAGTGGTAGTTACACTTAATTCTGCACATTCTGAGGTCCTTTTTTGGTGGATGGTACCCCCAAAGAAGATGTACCTTTTTCATATGTGTGTAATACTGTTTCCAAGCCAAGGTTGATGAATCAGTTGATGAACACAAACACTTCTAATAATCAAGAAGCAGACACATTGAATAGAAAGTTGATATATAGGTGTTGTTAACATTTCTTAACTATTGATTGCTGGAGCAGGAAGCCTCAACATCCAATAAGAAAGAGCTTTTCATTTAAGCATTAAGAAGAAGCAATGGAATACCACGCAGAATACAGTTGCAGGTTGAATACGGACGATATTTTTGCGAAAGAGAAACCACTCCATCCATGTCATGTATAGAACACTTGATCCCGGAGGCCTTTTGTGGTCGAAAACAGCTCGCATGGTAGCGGAGCTGAGAAGGCTGACGAAACTGTCAGCTGGAGCTCCAGGCCTTTAGGTGCGCCCGTGCCCACCCATAGAACTAGTGTGGCAGTTCGCTCGCAATCAAAGCCTGTGATTACCTGAAGAAGATCCACGAGCTGCCCTACCCGGTGGTGAAGGTTGGAGAGAAGACATGTTGCCTGATCCTGTCAGAAGAGGTTCGAAGCCAGCTGGAGAGCGAGATGGACGAGTCAGACATGACTGGTTTGGCCCAAGCGGTCATGGCAGCGGCAAACGCTGCGGCTCAAGCAGCTCAGGCGGCAGCATCCAGTGGAGGAGCTGGGGCGAGTTCGGGAGGTGCAGCGGGAGAGCAAGGGATCCTGAAACGAGACCTGGCAAAACTGATCCCACGACCTAGTACCTTCAACCCTACAGATAGGGAACAGGAAGTTCTGCAATGGAGGGATTGGTACTGGACGGTCAAACAATACCTGGTTGTTGTAGATTGTGCATTCCAAGATGAGTTGGAGAAGCTGGAATACAATTTGACAACAGAAGTGGACTGGGAATTGTTGGACGAAGGTGAACAGCAAAGAAGCAGGTTTCTGTATAGCTTGAGCCTCGTACAGGGACGGTTGACAGGGGTCATCAAGAATGTGGAGAAGTTCAATGGCATGGAAGCACTTCGACAGCTGCTGATGAATTGCCAGGCCCAAGCCAGGAACAGGACAATGAACCTCCTGCAGGGTATAATGTCTTACCCAAGCTTCAACATGAAGAATTCCTTGCTGCCTCAGATCCTCAAGCTGGAAGAGCACTACATGCAGTACGAGCGCCTTGGAGGGAAGTTGTCACCAGACATGAAGTCGGCGGTTCTCCTCAGGGCAGTTTCTGGTCAGATGAAGACACATTTGAACGTGAAGTTGAATGAAGGAAGCTCGTGCAGCAAGATCCGGGAGGCCATCATCGCCTTTGACACTGCCACCACCAAGTGGAATGAATCTGGAGCCCTGACTTTCACCAGTTGGACAGACCCCAATGGCCCTATTCCCATGGAGATCGACCGTATCAAAGGAGATGAGAAGAAGGGTAAAGGGAAGACGAAAGACAACACAGGGAAGTCAAAGGGCAGGATGACAGGTTTAAAGGAAAAGGGAAAGGTGGCAAGCTAGGCGGTAAAGATTGCAAAGGCAAAGGAGGTGGTAAAGACAACAAGGGTGGAAACGGCAAGAGTTCCAACGAAGTGTGTTGGACCTGCGGCAAACCGGGGCATATATCAAGAGATTGTTGAGAATGAGGCAAATTGAAGCTCCAGCAACACAAAGCATTGCAGGGTCCCACACTACGTCGCCTTCTACCACTTTGACGACAAGCGCAACGAGTGGAGGAGGTGGTGATTCCAGTGCAGGCGCCAAGAATATCAGGCGTGTTTCACAGCCAGTGATCTTCGACTTGAGAGAAGGGAGTGAAGCTGGTTCATTTCGAGTGGTGAGTCAGGTTGAATTTTTCAACATTGCCTCAGAGGAAGAGGATGAGTACGACGGCTGTAAGGTCAACACCATTGCAGAGACCGATGATGAAGAGGAAGCCCGCGAAGCTGGTGAGATGGATGAAGAGTTGCAAACACTGAAGGTGATTGTGGACTCAGGGGCAGACGCCTCAATCTTCCCCGGAAGACTCATGAGGAACACCAGAGGAGGTGATCAAGTGTTGGGAGCAGCGCTACACCTACAAGATGCTCAGGGCAAGAAGATCCAGAGTTATGGCCACAAGGACGTAGACATCGTGATGACGACGTCTGAAGGTCAATCTGTGGTCTTGAAGGAGAAGGTGACATTCAGCGACATGGTGAACCAACCCATCTTGTATTTTGGCCGGTTGATGAGAAGTGGATGGTCGATAGACGGGCAACGACAATGCCTGCGAAATGGGAGCCTGGAGGTGCCTTTGGCGTTTCAGAACCAGAGTTTGGTGGTGGAAGCCTCAGTTCGAGTCATCGCTGAGCCGATGGTGGTTCGCACGCTGGCAGCCAGGCTGAGTGATGACGTTTGTGGCCACTGAAGGTACTATCTCAGAGATGTTTGGCTTCGAGATTGATGAGGCCATTCAGCTTGGTCCCAAGCCAGCGATGGATGAGCTGGCCATTTCCCAGGCTCAAGATGAAGAGATGGAAGAGCTTGGGGGCATGGACGTTCGTGGAGGTGAAGAAGATCCCAACCCAGGGTGTGACTTGGAACAACAAACGGTTCGATATGAGATTGGCGTGGCCCTTCCAGAAGAGATTCGCGTGAATGAGATCCCATTGACTGTTGACAGTCCTCTACGGAGTTTGAGAGCAGCATGTGCATTCTACCAAATCGGGCAGAGTGGCGGAAAGAGAAAATGCTTCAGTCGCCTGGTAGCCCATCAAGGAGTTGATGATGGCAAGAGATCTAGCAGCGAGAGGGCAAGCTATGAACCAGAGGATTCCTTTAGAGCAAGTGTCGGAAAGGAAGGCGCATGAGCTCACGCACGTGCCCTATGCCCCATGGTGTCCCTCATGCAGCAAGCATCGTGCCAGACCTGATCAACGCAGGCGAAGTGGCAAGTCCCACGACCAAGGATGCCCTACAATCTCCTTTGATTTCTGCAAAGTGAAGGCTCGAGGTTCAGGAGGTGTTGGGGAAGGAAGAAGAGGAAGACGCTGCCCAAGAAGGAGTTCAAGATGATGAAAGTGGTGCACTACTGATGGTTGCAGTGTGCTCAGAGACAGGCTCATTGCTTGGGTTGCCCCTCAAGTCAAAGAATCAGATGAACCTGATCACCCATGAGCTTCTGGCATTCTGCGCAGTACTACTGTGACAATGAGCCAACGGCAAGACAGATTGTATGCCTCTTGGTGTCCTCGAGAACAGCTATGGGGTTGAAGACCACCTTCTACCAAGTTGTATGACTCAGCTGGGAACTCATTAGCCGAAAATGCAGTGCAGCAAGTTCTAGGCTTAGCAGCATCAATGATGGAGAGCCTGGCAGAGAAGATTGGACTTCGGTTCCAGCATCAGCATCCACTATGGTCTTGGGCATGCCGCCACGCCGCTTGGACTTTGAACAGATATCAGGTTCTGAGGGACTACAAGCTTCGAGTTGACCCATGGCAAGGCCTACGATGGGAAGATGTGCTCATTTGGAGAGGTGTCTTCGCCTACTCCAAGCAGAAGCAAGGCTTGAAGGCAGATCCAAAGTGGAAAGTGGGCATTTGCTTAGGCAAGACAGAGGTGCAAGATGCCTGGGTCATCGGAGACGGCAACAGAGTCTTCCTCAGCAAGTCGATCCGAAGAGTGGCAGACGCAAGCACCAAGTACATAGCTTGCTACCAAGGCTTTACAGCGTACTCATGGGAATACCAACAGAACTTTGGAGGCCGCATGGTTCCTTCGAAGAGGTGGCAACCATGGTGGGAGGTCCGTTGTTGGGTCTTCCTTCACAAGGGACAGGAGGAGTTGCTCGACATGATGAAGATGCGAAGGAAGTCATTGCTTTCTCGAGGTCCTATGCAGGCAAGTTGGAGGAGGTGAAAGATCTTGTAGATGTTGAAGAGAAGAAAGCGGAGACATCCAAGGAGTTGAGCGAGGAACAAAGGCTTGCAGAAGATAAGAAGTTGGACTATGCGGAGGAGAAGGTCACGTTGCCAATGATAAACTCAGAGACCCCAATATGGTGGACGAAGCACACAACCAAGCAGGACCTTCAGCACCGGCGACTACACCAAGAGGAGCCCCGCACAGAAGAGCAGCTTCAGCGTGGAAGGTGGAGAAGGAGACCCAAAGAGAATGAGCTCTCTCCCAGCAAAGCAGTGCATTTGAGTGAAGTGAAAGCTCAGAGTCAAAGAGGTTGAAGATTGGAGATGAAAAGCCTCAAGTGGAGAGAAGAGCGCAAGCCACAGAAGTAGGAGATGACGTCTACTACCGCGTGGACCAGTTCTTCGGTGAGGAGGAGTTCCTTGCGTGGGATGGAGAAGCTGAAGATGTGGCCATGACAGGCGTTCCAGAAGCACTATGGTCGTCAGCGCCTTTGGATAGAGTCCCTGCAGATCCACAACCTTGGATCGATGAGCTAGCAGATGAAGTTGAAGAACAAAGACTTCTGAAGACGAGTGTGTTGGAAACTATGGAGGGCGAGAAGACTGGCTTCAAGAAGTTGACAACGAGATTTGTCAGGGATTGGAGAGTCAAGCCACGTCAAGACCTTCCGGGAGCGCTCGAGAGTATGCAGTGGACAGAAGAGATGATGTTCACAGTCCGGCAACTGGAGGGCTTGCGGATGCGGCGTCTACTTGTCTCAGGAGCGAATGGATGTTTCCTTTGCAATCAAAGAGCTAGCGGCTAGCGTCCTCAATGGCCTGCCCTACAACTGGGAGTTTGAGAAAGCTTGGAAAGTTGGTCGGCTACCTGAAGGGAACGATGGGGCAGTACGGCCTTCTTCCATACCCAGACCCAGGGCGTGGACACGCCGCCAGAACTACAACTTCGAGATGGCTGCTAGAGACTTTCACCGACAGTGATTGGTCAGGAGCAAAGGGTCATCGCAGGTCAACGTCAGCAGCAGTGTACATGTTGAATGTAGTACTGACAAGCTCCAGGGGGCAGAAGTCAGTGTCCCTAAGCTCAGCTGAGGCAGAGCTGAATGCTTTGGTGAGTGGAGCGGCCGATGGCATCTACTTGCGAAGACGGTTGGAGTTTCTAATGAGGAGAACATCACGCACTACTATTTGGTTGACAATTCAGCAGCGCTCCATTTGTGCCACAGGAAAGGTCCTGGAAAGCTTCGACACATTGCAGGAAAGCTGCTTTGGATCCAGGATATGGTGGCTCAGGGAGATCTTGAAGTCAAAGCTGTGGGCACGGTGGCCAATGTGGCAGACTTGGGGACCAAACCCTTGTCCAAGACGCGAGTGAACCTCATCTTGAACTGGTGCCAGATTTACAATGGTGATGGTGAACTACTTGGTCAAGAAGAGCATCGACAACTCGAAGAAAGGACCGAATCTCGCTGTGGAAGGCCTTGAGCATGTGGCTGGAGAACGGATGGATGTGAAGGAGGAGATCACCGTGACCAACTACAGCGAGTGGCTATGGATCTTCTTCATGATCTTGATTGCAACGATTGCCGCGCTGGTTTTCGGCATGTACAAGCTCTGGAAGAAGCTTGAGAGAATGGGGGCCAGACTGCAACAAGTGGTTGAAGACGTGAAGGTGGACGGCATGATGTTGGAGCCTATGGTCATGAGGCTCAGGAAGGAATAGCCCAATTGAAGAAGTATGTGGAAAAGGTGCACAGGGGCTTGATCAAAGCCTCGGGCTATGTGGACGATGATGATGTCAAAGAAGAAGACTGGAGGCGTTGGAACTACCTCCAGGAGACCAACAAGGAGTTCGACGTGAGAAGGCTCGACAAGCAAGTCAAAACCTACCTTCAGATGAATGTTGAGCAGACGCGTCGACGCTTGAACATACGGGGCAACACTTTGAGGGATGAAGAAAGTGAAGAAGGAGAGCGTGATCCAGAAGATCTAGTACAAGTCAGGCTGGACTCTGGTGAGGTAGTCACAGTGAGAGCCAGAGATCTACAGCCCAGAGAACCAGAAAGCGAAGAGGAAGGACCAATGCCAATGCAAACAGAACCAGAACGAGCACCAGACCAAGCAGTGGAAGCACGTGGCAGAGGCAGTAGAGGTCTTGAGTTTGAGGATTTGACCCTGACAGCACCAACTACCAGATGGCTCACGGATGCCGAGATGGTTGAGGTGAGCGAGTATGACAAGTCAGGGGCAAGATCCTGCCTACGAGCAAGCAGTATGCATTGCAGTTTGAGAAGAGATGGTTCGAACTGAACCAAAGAGGGGATAGTGAAAGCGAGATGGAGATGTATGCCAGGATGGATAAACACATGACCTTCCTGGACAGCGAAGACTTCCCCTTTTGAAGAGACGGTCTCACGAGCCCGAAACTTGGCTCACGATACCAAGGAGGAGTGCGAAAGAGAAACCACTCCATCCATGTCATGTGTAGAACACTTGATCCCGGAGGCCTTTTGTGGTTGAAAACAGCTCGCAATTTTTGATTTTTGTTTTCTGGATTTCACAAGAAACATGCAAATTCCAAATCTGCAAACTCTATGTCTCCAAAGTGGCTCCGTCTTTTGTTTCTTTTGTTTTTGTGATGAAAAAATCTAATTTTTGAGTAGCGAAAGCGTGCAGGTTTTGGGTGGAGAAGGTTGATTAGGTTGAGGTGTGGGCGAATTTTGCTCAAGGTTCTGAGCGGCCACACCCCCTTTCAGTGGGCACTGTGCCGAACCTCCGTGTCATGGCCAACATGGCCGTGCTTTCAAGGCCACTCTCAACCTCGTCCGAGTTCCAGTGACGCGCGCCAGCCCGCGAACTCAATGAGGTGGAAGCCATACAATTGGCTTTGACACGGCGTGTTGCACGAGCTTGCTTTGGGATGGGGACAATTTTAATAGGACAGGGTAGACAGGGTAAAAGAGACAGACCTGAGGAATATTGATTAATGCACAATGGTTTATGGATAACATAACCATTCAATGTAATCAATGTGGATGTGGACTTACATCAGATATCAAAACGGGTAGTATATCAACAAGTCTGACAGTCCAAAGAAAGGATAATGAAATTTGTCATACTTTAGATAATTGCGTTGCTTACTGTCATAGATGTAATAGCAGCTGTAAATGAATATTTGTACAAAAACATGTTCATTGTATACATATACGGTATATTGTATGAACAGTATTTACTGTACAGAAATTGTGGGTATACATAACACGTAATGGGCATTACTAAACAGTATTGCAAAAAAAATCAGAATAACAGAACATTTAATAGAACTAGGTATTGGATACTATTAAGCAGTATTGCAAAGGATTTCAGAATAACAGACGATTAGATAGATTTACTGAAGGGTTGAGAACCTGCGACAGTTGTAGAACCAAACAACCAAAATGATATTACAAAAAATCAGAACACCACCAACAACAAAGGAAAAACTTGAAGGAAAACAACCCTGAAAGAGTAAGGAAGCAAATGAAAGAGCAAAAGCAAAGGCATTAATTAGAACACAATATTATTGCCCATTAAAGTGAATGTGATGTCCAGTGGTGTAAAGAATCCCAACACGAAAAGGGAACCTTTCATCAAGAGAATGTCAGAAAACAAAATCACCCAGAAGAGTTTCAAAATTAAGTGAGCCAGACAGTAAACGCTTTGACAATCAGGGGTGCACATGTTACGTATAGCTGTATTGCTTGCAAATGTCATCAAATTTGGCCTTATCAATGGATACAACACATAAGGACTGAAACACATAAACGCAACAAAGCAGGTAAATTGCCTTTTAGGATGATCTAATGTTCAGGTGCTTCTGCGAAATGCTTTTTGCTTCACAATATGCCTTGCAAGCCCAAAAAGGTAGGTTTGGGGGGGCATGTGAAACCGTAGTCAGTCGTGTGTTTATTGCAGCATTTCATGGACTCAGCTTCTTCCTACTGGCTCGCCGTTTTACTTGGAATGGACGAAAGCGCTCCACTAGCATGTAAAAGCTCATACCATTCGCTTCTTTTTCAGCATCCACCTTCACTCCATGGAAGTTTGAAGTGGCAAAAAAGGCTGTGAGGCCTTGAGGTGAAGGCCTTGCACATGCGTTGGGGCAAGGACTCTGCCTCCGAAGACTCCAAGGGACGCAGCAGTGAGATGGGCTCCAGCCTACAGGAACCTGTTCAGAACTTGTTCAACATGTCGACGGTATTGACGGGGCTGTTCGTGTCGATCTCGCACCTGCCTCAGGAGGGCGAGTTTGCGTTCAGTGATGGCAGCGATGATGCGATGCAACCATGAGGGGCAACGAGGTTGCAGATGCATTGCAAGTGGGATGTTGGAAGATTTGATCGAAGAAACTCGTGGACCTAGTGACCTAGTGTTACAAACTTGCAATCTGCAATTCCTGATTTGATTGAGCCTTGGATGCTGTACATTTAAAGCGGAGTTTGCATGACTTCAGAGCTTTGCAACAGAAGAGTGCAGCAGCTTACTTACTCAGTTTACTCTCCCCGTTGCCAAACCAGCTGAGGGCGGCCAACTTTTGGAACCACATCTTACAATGCGCACGTTATGCTAACCCCCCCCAAAAAAGGCACGATGTTGAGCGCTGGATGGGATGAGCTTTCAATGGTGTCCACCCACAAGATGTCCGCCGCGATCACTTCGTTGAAGTCCAACGGAACCGACCCTATTACTAGGCCAGGCTCAACGTTTAGGGGAAAAATCCGTAGAGGGCTGAGGTCGTCCATATTTGCAATAGAAAAAGAGGCCACCTCAGGAAGTGCCTCAGCTTCTAAATTGCCAGCTGAGTAGCGCAGCTGGGTGGTGGAAAGCTCTGGAAATTGTTTCTTTAAGCAGCTGCTTTCCAGCCAGTCACAAATGGGATGTCGGTGAACTTTAATTCCTGGCAAGACCATTTTGGTTTCACGTTCTACACATTCTTTGCAATCGAAAAGACGGAGCCACAACGTGGTAGAGGCTTCTAGTCTTGCAACTGTTCTATAAGCAACACAGCAGCGCTGGTTCAGTTTTGTTGGTTGATGAATGAATCAAGCTTCAATACGTCTTTCAATATCACCTGAAACAGGTGCATTGGGGATAGCTTGGGCAAACGGTACGCAATGAGTGCAATACGTTGGATTCCGTTGGATGTCCCTTCAAAAAGCCAGTTCACTTCGTGGGTTACTCATTGCGATCGCATGCCAACGTGTGGTTGTGGGGCGCCGCCATCGGATTTGAAATGGAGAAATGGGCGTGGCAAAGCACGCGTTTGGTGGCCAAGCAGATCTGTGGTGTCAAGGATGGTCTTGCATTTGACTCTGCGTTTGCCACGGTAGTTGAGCGGCAGTGTTCAGCCAAGGTTCGAAACCATTGCAAGTTGATGCGTGGCATGCCACTGTATATATCATTTTGTTGGACTTCAGAACTCCAAAAGTATAACATTTTTTGTTTCTGTTTAAAACTTTCACAAAGCTTAGACTAAATTTGTAGAGAGTCAAGTGCTCCTTATTTGAGTCACTTCGTCATGACAACCCTCTACAACGGATGATGTTCGACCGACTTTGATTTAGCTTCCATTTTTGCGTCCAAACTTCAAACACTCCACTGAGCCCTTTTTTAAACCCGGGCTAGTTTTGCTCATCCAGTGTGGGCAGCCGTCGCAAAGCGACCCGAAAAGTTTCAAGTCATAATGCAACTCTTCGATCTTTTGCAAACTGCCTTTCTGTATACCGATTACACATGTTTACGCCGCGTGCACCGACTTCATGAGTGAAACGGAAACGTGACTGGTGTTGTACCGGGCACACAGGCCTATATATAAATACGGCGAGAAAACCCTGAGTGAAAATGCAGTGAGAACTACGCGAGTTGCACCTTCCAGGAACAACGTGTGCACCTTGCACAAAGCGCGCACATAACTTTGCAAGCCGCAAAAGGCATTCGTTGCCAAACCAAGGAATGGCTGCATATGAGCAACCGCCAAACCGTGCAATGACTAATTTTAGTAAAAAGCGGTGGAGAATCTTAGGAATTAGGCTAAAACGCTTAAACCTGCAAAAGCGATCCCCTTAAAAGTGATAAGCCCGTTTCCGCAGTTTTTTGATGTGTTCAGCTTTGTTGACATTGTGGCTAAAACCTGCAAAAGCGATAGGCCCCCTCGAAAGCTGAATCATGTCCTTTGATTGACAGATATTGACATTGACAGTACGTTTTGGCAGACGCTCATGTAGCCCTTGCCGCAAGATGCGTTGTATTGAAGCATCCAGGGAATGGATCAGCAAAATCATTCTAACTGTGTCGCAACTCTTTGTCAAAATAAGTGGAGGTCTGTGGATCCAAGTCAAGCTTCCGTTGATGGAATCGAACGGCCATTTCGCAAAGAATCAGTGGAAAACCTGCAAAGTGGCTGAGAAATCTGCAGGTCGTGACCCACTCATGTTCAGAACCATCCAGTTGTTTGGCACAGCAATCTTTTTTGGTATTTTAGGCTTCTCGGTACAATGCAATAATATCCCAGTCTCTTCACCTCTGTTTTCAGAGTTTGGTAACATTTGATGCACTGATGCTAGCCACTTCGCACTGCATCATCGGCCCGAAGTTGAATCTTGGGGTAGGTGAAAGAGTCCTTGCAAGTTCTTGGCAGTGAGGCCAGCTTTGCGATCCTTCGCGAAGTTTCAATCACTGGTACCATGGGCAGCTGCAAGCTCTGGAGTGATGAGCTAGTGCTCCAAACAATGAGCTGGAATCCACTCAATTGTGAATGGAGCAGGATGTATCATCGATGTCTAACTAAGGCTGCAAGCCACTGCAACCATTCATGACAAAGCCCTTCCTCCTCGACTTGACCAGTGCAGCCGAAACTGAGCAAGTGCACATGCTTGAAGGACTGCCCAAAATTTGGCTACACATGCACTCAAGGAAATATGGTTCACAAGGCCTTTTAAAATAACTTGCGACTGGCCATCCACAATTGCGAATGTGGCTATTGTCAGCCAGAAGCGATCACCCCATAGTACTGAGCCATTTGTCCAAACCTCAGCAACTTTGTAGGAACAGAACGATCATGCGGGTCAGAAAGCAAAAATCCGGTGGCTGTAGATCATGCGGGTCAGAAAGCAGCAACCGTCGCTCCAACAAATAATGTGCACAGGTGGTCCAATATGGTTGTGCACACTGCACTCGTGAACCAAATGGTGCATAGACGGCATAGACTCCTCAACTTCCCCACCCCAAGATTGCCATTTGGTCGTTAGTCGTTAGTGGCTGTATACATACAGTAGGTCTAAGACTCAACGGACCTTCATTTAGGCAGCTGTTTTTTTATCAGAATAGTCACACACTTTCAGCAAAGTTTTTGGCGTCCAGACCAGAACAAATATATAGCCATAGCTAAATTCGCCTTCTCCAAATCAAAGCCAGGACAGTCTTTCTAGCTCGCGCAAAGACGTATTCTGCAACTCCGTTCCACACAAATCATAGGCAGCAGAATGTATATTGTTACTTTGTCCAGACTGATATATACCTGAGACCTGATGCATGGTGAATAGTCCAGAAGCTGAAAAGCTCTTTACAGAAGGCTGAGTGGCTTAGGTGTCTAAAGCCATGGGTTTTCTTGGTGGTGGCACCATTATTTCCTATGGCACAGCCGACTTCTTGGAATGAAATGAAAGAGCAGTGGATGCGAGTGAGCGGACGTATGCTGGAAATATTTGGACCCCACACTCTATCTTTCGAAGTGGTCAGTTTTGCACAGAACCAACGCATCTTCGAGGTTTGCTTTGTTTTTTGGTTGCGTGCAGTGGCAGCCTCAAACCCGAACTTTCGTTTCAATGCAAACTTTAAGTGGAAGACAAAGCTCGAAACGCAACATGAACGCCACCACAATTGCCTGTTGAGATCTTAGGCCGCACACCCCTGCGAATCAGAGGTGCAAAGTGCCTGCCCCGAGCGAGCCAGCTCCGAACTAGCCAGGCAAACAGCAAACATCATTGCTCGTGAAATTGCTAGCAATTCTTTTCCAATGCCTGCAGTTGATAATTGTTTTGCTATTTTGCCAAAGTAACCGGCCCTTGGTTTGCTGTACGAGCTTACTCATCTTACTCAATTTCAAGACTTGGCGTAGTGCGGGCTTTTCCTGAACGCTCAAGAGGGCATATTGCTTGTTGCTTACTCTGAGTGCTGCAGATCTTTGTTGCAAAATCTTCCGGTTTACACCCCCAACTATGAAACTGTTGCCCTTTTCTCTCCTCCTGCGTGTTGTAGGTCTGCAGGTTTTGGTTCTTTTGGATTCTTTTGTTGGATGTCTAACTTCAAGGTAGATTTGGCACTTGCCCATTCGGCATATTTCGGCATTCATCGCCTCAACTGTGAGAGGTGTCGGCAACCTGGTATCGTCTCGTGGCACTGGAGTGCTGGAGGTCATTGTGTTGTCAATGTCAGGTGCACAACATTAATTTTCAAAGCCATATGCAATTCACAAGAAGCTACTAGGAGCAAGGGCATCGCTACTAGGGGCTCCTGGCATCGCTGCTAGGAGCAAGGACGCTACTAGGGGCTCCTGGCCTTGTTCCCACACTCACGTTGAACTTGCTTATGCACCAGCTGATCCTTCTGCGGTGCTTCCTCCCGCCGCTGTTGCTGCTAGGCACATGCTCGCGGTTTCGGTTGTCCTTCTCATCTCCCCTGCACCTTTCAGGACTAGCTCTGATCACCTTCTAGTAGTCACACGACATGTGTATGTCAAGTCCATGAGACCTAGATCCTGCTCTGAATTTGCTAAGGAGACACATTAGTGTTTCCTTCGCTGGTAGGGTTGCGCATGCTGGACCTTTCTTTGGTGCCTGCTAGCTTAAGACCCAAGAGACATGCCTGTACGGAACTTGGAACCCGATTTCACCTTTGAGGGTCGAAAATACACCAGGTGCTGTACTGCTACCCTCCCAGAACACTGTGCTTGTATTCGACGACCAACAGGAAGGGTCACGTAGCTAGAAGGAGGCACAGAGGCTTTCTGAGCCACGTGGGCAGAGGAAGCCTACTCTTCGCTTGTGTCACTTGTGTCCATTGTTCAAAACACGAAGACACGGGAAGAAGGACGAGCGACATGAAGCAACGTAAAATGATCACGAAAGGTAGCCCTTTAGGGGATACCTTGAGTTTGACTTGCGAAGCACGTGTCGGCGAGTCCGGGTCTAATAATTGATCATTCAATTCAACCCCCCCCCCCTGCTATTGTTTTTTCAATACAGACCCCCCCCCCCTCCCTCTAAATTCAATTCTCCGCTGGAGAACGTCTT